CCCTTAGCTACGCGATCGCCGCTTTACGTCCGCAAACTCCTATGCTTTTGCCCATTTGGATCAGTAATTTTGCTATTCTGGAAAAGCGTTGTCCAGCCTGAACAGCTTTGTTTCTTTGCAGAGTTTTTTCAGCTCTCCACTTACCCACACTCATCCATCCTTACATGTCCTTAACAACCGCTTCGCCCTTCTCATCCCTACACTTCAGAAACCCGCCGACCCGATCGATGCGTAACTTTTTTGTAGCGAAACTTGCAAGGGCGTTTGATTCGTCCGAGGTCATAATTCATCTACAGACTTCACTTCTTCACCATTCTCTTGCTTGCCAATTCGTATCATATGTTCACGTAGCCAAACAGTAGCAATAAGTTACTAATTTGTAGTGCCTCAAAGTATTATGATATGGGATGCCGCCTGACGAGAACGGAGTCAACCGAATTATGCGAGCAGACAACGACAAAGGAAGACGAGAAACAAGGAAATGTGTCGAATGGACAGCCCAAGGCGGCGCGAAAGGACACACCGATTGTTGGAAACGAGCAGCTCAGGTAAAAATGCCTTTTTGTAACACTCATTGAGGTTCGTCTCGAATCGTTCGTGGGAAGTGTCCTGGTTGCTCTTGTAAAATGTTTGCTTTCTTCAAAGCTTTCTGCTACCTGCAAAAATTGTCGATATTATGTTGAACATTAAAAATAACCTATGTCTCGCATTCGATATCTCAAATAACGTTGTCTGTCATCTATTCCACTTCGAGATGTTAATTAATGCTAGAATAGACATCATAGCAGACTATGGTCTTAAAGGAGCGGCAAAACGTTTCTAAAAGGTACACCAGAGACAGATACACCACTTTATGGTGCGGAGGGTTATAACATAAATTGGTATATGCAGGGTTGGCTTTATTTATCATTTCGGTAAATCGGAAAACCCCGGCGATGAGGTAATTTACACTGCCTTGGATATGGATGGACATTGTAATCTGAAGTCAATCTCTTCCATTATTCA